AAAGAAAAAATGATTTGTTAATATACCTGGATGTTTATATGATATGAATGACATATCGACAGGATCATTTTTCAAAATAATATTTGATGTTCGAACAATAATGTTGTCTAAAAATAGACAATACGCAATAATCATTGAATTAATATCAATGCAAAGTTAAAATTTACTATTGAATGTCTAATGTTTATTTAAGATTTTAGTAGGTCTTTTGTCGAGATGAAATTATTTTCGGTCTAATCGAATTCTTTTCTTTGCTTCTTTATTTGAAAGGGAAGAATACATCAATTTTTGGAAACTCTTATTTAAACATGCATCTTAGCATTCTATTTTATATTCGATTTGTTTTTATTGAAGTTTTAGCTTCTGTTCAAGTGTTCTTTATTTATATATAGTATAGTGTAATGAGTCAATCATAGTTTATAAGCTTGTCATAGATAAATCAACTTACAGACAAGATTGTGTTCTTTTCTTAGATCAGATGTTGCACTGAAATCCACTATAACTGTATTTATAGTTTTATTTTGTAATAAATGCATATCCATTTTATCGTCTGAATCGTGACTCCTTTAATAAGTATATATATAGAAAAATAATATAAACCTTAAATTCTTCTTTTCGTAATTATATTCAAATAAACCTACCAAATGTTTGTATTATTACATTTCATTGCCGCTAGACGTATTGTAGCACGTTGAACAAGTTCGTTGACATCCGTTCGATTCGGTTCGAAAACAATATTAGTTTTATTGGAAACATCATCCAGAGTATGTGAACTCCAACGACCACCTTTATAACTTGGTGGAAATTTAAAACAATTACTAAATATATCATTTGATGAAGTTGGTGGAGTATTGATTTCTTGCGAACATAGACTTTTACTAAAAGCTCCAGGTAAATTTTCATGATTATTTTGCTTTTCGGCTAGTCGATTGAGTCCATATCGAGTTAACGTTAACAATAGTATTATGGTAATTGGAAATAAAAGTTCACAAAGTATTGCTGGACAACATTTACAACATCTTTGCCGATATGAATAACGAGCTGAACGTTGACGTAATAAATTAAGTTTACGTGATGAACTAACTGGTTCATAATCAGGTTCAATTAATTTCTGCCGAGTTATGTCGGATTGTGACATCAGATTTAATTTATTTGTATCAATAGTTATATTTCTATTTATTAGATAATTTAAATTATTACACTTGGCGCTAAAGTATAATAAACCCGGATATTTTTGTATATCTCAAGAATGGTAATTTTGACTATTCGATATGTATATGTCCGGAAAGTAAAAACTTAAGAGTTTATCTTACAAGGAAAGGTCCCTGGGTGTTTCTCTGAGATTTCAACGAAACCTATGTGGGTTTGTCAAGTCAGGTGTCTATATCTCAAATATAGAAAAAATAGCGGCTGAGACTAATCCGTTAAAAAATCTTTCAGTAAACGTATTTTTTCTTAGGACTCTGAGGAGGAGTACAGCTGAGTTTTTTCACGAAAAATAAAGTTCGCAAAAAAGTCTGGAGCAGCCATAGACCGACTTAGTTGTAAGTGCTGACTCCTAATTTGTTATTAGCTTTGCTGGATACTGTATTTTTCTAACCGAAATCTCCCGACGCAGAGTGAAAATATTTCAAAATCATATCTAGAGAATAGTCTGCTAGGAAACCTTTTAAGCAACCAGCTTTTTCGGAATTTGAAAAACATGTGATTATGTAGAGTTTTTTAAATGCTATCGCTTGATACATGAAAATTTACAGGAACTGAACAATATAGGTCTCCATCGATCGACTAGAGAACTAGCCGAACAGACTTTTCAATTATGATCTAACATAGTCAATATTCAAGTTACTATTTATCTAAAAAATCCTGACCGTTTTGAAAATGCACGCGATTTGTGCTTTCATCTTTATGAGGACTTCTATTCTGTAAGCATATGCAACGAGTATTTTTTTATTTGTTGCAGTCATTGTGATCGGGTCTTTTTGATGCAATCATTCTTTTTGCCATTGATAATGAACATCAGTAAAATGTCCTTCTGTTCATATCCAGAAAAAAATTACTTTTTCGTGCCTAATTAAACGAAAAATCATGTCTTTCTTTAGAGTGGTTTTTTCATCCCGAACGTCAGCGTTTTGCCTAAACCCCTCCCCAGAATACAAGGCCACCCTCATTAGAAGGCCACCCCAGGAAAAAAAACTCACAAGGTATAATAGAAGGCCATGGAGTTTCCAGAAACTTTTTTTAGAAATGCAGTGGGTTTTTATATTTTAGTACTTAAAATATGGTTCTTTTAGTAAAAACCAAGGTTTTGTAGCTAAAATTACTTTTTTTCTAGTAAAAAAACTGGTTTTATGGAACTTAACTGCTAAAAGTGCCTTTTTGAACGCCAAAAATATTCCCAACAACTCCTGGTTCTTTGGGTAAATCTTAGCAAAAAATAGCCCACAATAGAAGGTCACCTTTGCAGAAGCGATGTGAATATCAAGTAGTCAAAAGATATTTTCTTTCTTTTCAATTATTTAGGATAAAAAAAAGACAGAATCGAAAAGTTTACAGGGCTACTAATTTTCTATCAAACGGTTTCGAACTTATAGCGAAGTTTATACGATTGATCATATTCAGATCAAATCAACACTTGCTGCTTAACAAGCAAAGGATGGGGTGTTGAAAGGTCAAATCGTTTCATTCTTGAATTGTTAAAATAAATCTTTGTTTCTATGCAGAATGCTATGCTCGGTTGCCTGGTAATATTTTCAATTCGATAAGACAATATGTAGGGTAATAACGACTGGACATATTACCCTTCGCTTACAATCATTGAAATGGTGAGATATATTGCGGGTACCATTTGACAATGATACACTTTTTCGCTTTTCCATGGTATCATCCGATAGAGCATTTGACTCTACATCGATTCGTTTAAGAACAAGTGTATTGAAAAAAATTACTGGTATCTTCTATTTGTTATTTCATTGGCAGTGGGTGGTAGGTAAGCTGAAAATCGTGTTCAGTTAGTGATCTAGTCAACCGGTAGGGAACTATATTGTTTCGTTCATGTAAATCTACATATGTCAATCGATAGCTCTTTAAAAACACTATATAATCACATATTTCTCAAGTTCCGAAAAAGCTGGTTGCTAAAAGATTTCCTAGCAAACTATTCTCTAGATATGATTTTGAAATATTTCCACTCTTGTTCAGGAGATTTCGGTTAGAAAAATACAGTATCCAGCAAAGCTAATAACAAATTAGTAGTCAGCACTTACAACTAAGTCGGCCTATGGCTGCTCCAGACGTTTTTGCGAACTTTGTTTTTCGTGAAAAAACTCAGCTGTACTCCTCCTCAGGGTTCTAAGAAAAAAATACGTTTACTGCAACATTTTTTAACGGATTACTCTCAGCCACTATTTTTTCTATATTTGAGATATAGACATCTGACTTGACAAACTCACATAGGTTTCGTTGAAATCTCCGAGAAATACCCAGGGACCTTCACTCGTTAGATCTTTTCTTAAGCTCGATCCACACCACACTGCTCCTCTCGTTACATCAAATGATTTACATGAATGTATCATCTCTAGGAAAACTCCTAAGAATACAAATATTGACACCACAGACAAAAATGGACTTTGCAACGATGAAATGAATTTCAAATATGAGTCATATTGTCCTATCACAGAACACTTTCTGAAAAAAGAGCGAGCAACTACTGATGGACAAATGAATATAAATAAATCTGACGAGAATGAAAGAAATATAATAAGCTGAACTTTTGTTTTTGTATTCTGTATCATGATTGAGAATTTCTTGTATTTCGTACATTGAAAACAAATGTGCCAGTGTAAATTGAACGGAACTTTTCTCGTATGTCGAATGTGTGAGGAAAGCAAATCTGAAAAATAAACGATCAATTAGAAATTCCGTTTTCTCATTTGTTATGTTCTGCAACGCTTCTAAACTAATTTTATGCCTCAACTAGACCGCGAAGAAAGTTCTTCAAATATGACAATTTTCTAATTC